TCCTCAGCCTCCTGCTGTAGCAGTGTGCTGTGGCCCGGCCATTGCCAGGGCCTGGAAGATGCGTAGAGCCTCTGAACCACCAGTTCAGAATGGTTAGTGAGAAGGATGAGAAATTATAGGGTGGGTGTGTATGAAATGTATGAAGACATGACAGTCCATGGATAAGAGAATAAAAAGTAGACTGAACATCCTTATTTTAATGTTTATTTCACTCGTATTGAGTAAATCTGCACTTCCTTATTTTTACTGTTTGATAATGCTTTTTTAGTGAGTAATGATAAATACAGAAAGCACATGTTTAATGAATAATCAAGTACTGATATTTCACTTCTCAATATACTCATTGATAAACTAACTGACGGATGTTTGTTCACATTTCCTATCCACCCCGGAGGCCGTGATCATATCACTGATGTATGTAAACCTAAGTCACAAATCTGCTGAAAAGCCTTCAACAGTTAGCAGTTACTTTAAGAAGATCATTTCTGGAAATGGGATTTTAATTCACACAGTTGTAAAGGCGTGTTTGTGTATCTCTCTGTGGACCATGACTTTTCATTTAGATCAAATGGCTGCTCTTCCACATTAATTTATCTCATCTTCCATTCCATGGTTTCATGTATATGTATGAAAAATGGCAAAATAGCTGTCCATGTGTTGACTCCAGTAGCATCAACATATTAAAACCCTTGCGAAGGGTCAAATGATGTCAGTCTTATCTGTGTGCCATCAAATTATTCAAACAGAATATCAGATGAGTTAATTCTGAAACTGTTTCAATTTTTTATCCATTATATGAAATCAAAATCAAGGTTTTGCAAATTAACTTCGCAAATGATGAAATCTCTGACATTAGGAATGCCACTGTACATTTGTTTAAACACTTAACATTGAGGGTTATTTAATTTTGTAGTGATAATATGAATGCAAATTTTGATGGAGCACAGCATCATGGGATAATAAGATAGTCTTATTAAATGAAAGAATCTATGAGGCCGAAATGTACTTGGGACTGACCACGATGCCCTGATTATCCACGATCACACAGACAAGTGATAACGCTCCACCAATTGAATTAGAAGCTGTAGTGTCCACATTTGTAAATGTTTTATATATACAGAGTTAAGATAGCAACAAGTAAATTTTCGTGACAAAGATGTCAGATATAAAAATATCCTTCAGTATGGCACTGTGCACTTTCTTTGTGCTGTTGGTCATCAGTCTGATTTTAGGAAAGTTTGGAACTTGAAAGAGCTCTCAGTCAACTTAAATACCTCCCAAAGTTATTGAACTCTTGGGAAAAAAGACGTCTTTTAAATTTTGTTGCATTTTGATCATAATCAGTAATCAAAATCTGAAATGAATGAAGTGCTAAGTAACTTCACTTAGTGAAGCTTTTAGTGAATAGAAGTAAATTAAAAAAGAGCTGGCAAAAAAGACGATGCATTTTTTTCCTTCAGAATATTTAGCACAAAGTAAACTCTGAGGTCAAATGCTGTGCATGGTTCACTGTTTAAATTTTGAAGTTACACTTTGGATTATCTCAATTTGTAGAAAAAAATCTTTGATTTTTAATAAGATAAATATATATTCTACTCAGGAATGGAAGGAAATTGAGAAGCCATTTATTTTTCAGCACAAATTTTGTGAAACATTCAAAAGAATCATAGAGACAAATTTTTTGAAGTCTTGACTTGAAAAAAATGCCTGACAGAGAAAGTTCACATGAATGGATACAAAATATAGTGCCTCTGAAAATATTTGGACTGAATGTATGCAGATTTCAAATAGAAATTTGAAAAGTAGAATTGAGAATATTCTCCATGTACCACATTTTTGTTGTGAATTTTCAAGGTACCTCAGTAGCTAGAGAGAGTATTTTGTATTATGTGAATTTTTTTCTATTATATATTCTATATTTTATATGATATAAATATTTTATGAGAGTGATTAATATTATGGTCTACAGTAGAGTCAGTTAAAGGTATCAGTTTAATGACCAAGTACAACTGTGAAGATGACTAAGGACAATTTTATGAAATATTATAAATGAAAAAATGACATTAAAGAGTACGTTCTTGGGGCCAGTCCTGTGGTGCATCAGTTAAGTTCACATGCTCCACTTCGGCAGCCTGGGGTTCTCCGGTTCGGATCCTGGGTGCAGACCTATGCACTGCTTGTCAAGCTGTGCTGTGGCAGGCGTCCCATATAGAAAGTAGAGGAAGATGGGCACGGATGTTAGCTCAGGGCCAGTCTTCCTCAGCAAAAAGAGAGAATTGGTGGCAGATGTTAGCTCAGGGCTAATCTTCCTCAAAAATAAAACAAAAAAGGAAAAAGTACATTCTTGGGCAAACCCCATGGCTGACTGGTTAAGTTCGTGTGCTCTGGTTTGGCAGCTCATGGTTTCACTGGTTTGGATCCTGGGTGCTGATCTAGCACCACTCATCAAGCCGTGCTGTGGTGGCATCCCACATAGCAGAGCCAGAAGGACCTACAACTAGAATATACAAATATGTGCTGGGGGACTTTGGGGAGAAAAAGAAGAAAAACCTAAGAGGAAGACTGGCAACAAATGTTAGCTCTGGGCCAATCTTTAAAAATCAACAACATGACTTTTAAAAGTACATTCCTTTGAAAAGTAATCCTGACATGGGATTATAAGCACGTATAACTGGGAAACCAAGTAAATATTTGAATACATAGCACAAATAATCATTCTTACTATTTCATTTAAAAAATTCAGACAAGGTAAACAAATTTCTTCTGTTTAAATGGTTGTAAAATAAATTTTTAGTTTGAAACATTTATTATGAAAAAATAAATAAACATAAAATGAAATAATTTTATAGATCCACCAATATAATAAAACCAGTTGTCACTTGATAAATATTTCAAAAATTATGTAATTCTGATTACTTTTACTCTTAAAAGTGTACAAATATGGTCAATAAATTATCTTGCTACCCTAGATACAGTGGGGTTCTTACACCTAGTTTTTGAATATTGAATCTTCAATCTAAGACATCAAATTCATTATAGAGTAAAAGGTTACTATGAAAATCATTTATTATTTTGGTGTACTAACTCTTCCTTTCTCACCATCAGAACCTCAGTGTTTGAGTGTTTCATAGGGGAAAAAAAATCAGTCAACTGAAATAGGAAATTTTTATGAAGTTGAGCCACATGGAAATTTGAGTCATTTTCCAAGAAATTGTTTTGACCTAAACTCTACGCTGCTGAAAAGAGGAAGCACTTTTGCCCTTTGGGTCAAATACCCGGTGCTTTCAAATGTTCCTTTATAGACACGAATACTCATGTGGCAGACAGAGATGGGTTTTCACCATTGTGCCCCTTAATAGATGTTGGTGGATTGTTGTGCATGAATTGGGTCGCTCTGGCAGCATATCTAATTTTTAACTCAAACTGCTTGAAGAATTAGTAAGAGAGTAAGGGAAATAAGCAATGTAAAATTAGGGTGAAAAAGTAAAAATGTCCTGAAAGTTTGATGTTGCAAGAGGAAACAGTGAGCCTGATTTCTCCTTCTGTACAGAATGCTTGGATAAAGGAGTCCAAACCAGATGGTAAGAAGTCATTCAGAGCATCCCCGCACCCTTTACTAAAGACGGGTGGCAGTGGACCATTCTAACCTCTGCTCCTTTCTTTGGTCTGTTTCAGCCAAGTAGCTTCATAAGCAAGAGCAGATGCAAGAAGGAAAGTTTGTGCTTTTTGACATTTTTGCTATATTGATGCTTTTACCAATAATCACTCTGAGCTGGTGCGTTCTCCTTCCTTCCATTCGTGGATCTAGTTTGATGAAGCAGAGAATACAAGATGAGGATGAAATAATTTTTTTTTTTATCTTTTGCTGCACAGAAGTTTATTATAGAAATGGTCTGCTAAATTTAGAAGGTTTAACTCAATAATGTAGTACTGTTTGAACCCAAGTAAAATTCTAGTTAGAAGAAAAAAGATTTTGTTAGTTATTTGAGGTTTTAGGTTTTATATGTTAGATGTAGTGACTACAATGACCCAGGTAGGCAAGAACTGAGAGGACACCAGCTAAATCCCACTTGCAATAGAGTTCTTAAGGGAACTAGAATGTGGTATCAGACTATAAGAAGTAGTGTCAAAATGCCACTCTTTAGGGAACCTTATTTTCTCCAACATTCAAGTAATTTCTGAATGATTTTTATAAGCATTGGCTACCTAACATGGTAGAACACATTTAAGGTTTTCTATAAGCAAAGTAAGGACAATATTCTTAGAAAACTGAATTCTATTTCACATGAAGAATTGGAGCCTGAGGAAGATGGACTTATATTTGCTTCTAATTCCATGAAGGAAAGAAATCAATCAATTGTTGAGCATCTGCCTGGGGAGTAATCTAGGATACGGTCCCCAGCACTGTACTATGTGGTGACATTGTGGCCTATCTCCCGCTTTTTACTTTATTTCTGAGGTGATTGCTGAAGGATGAATGAAATGTTCATCAGGCCCCCATTGGGTTTAAAACCTGACTAAAAATGCAGCAGAGTTTGATTAAGAAGCCACAGTACTAGGAAACACATTATGTGGATATCCAACAGGCCATGTTGTAACCTGCTGGAAGCATTTCTGAAGGACTGTGATAGCAGAGGGGTAAGGTGAGCCGGCAGATAACCTTGTGAAGGCAGAGAGGAAACCAGGGTCAACCAATGGAAGGGATTCCAGAGTTCTCTGACAGAAGCAGCAGCCTCCACAGGGAAATGAAGCTCTTGGTTCATCACCCCATGAGATTGAGACTTGCAACTGAGACTTGCATACTATGAGTGGTCGCATCTGAATGAGTCAACAGGGATTTGTTGGCGTCAGTAAATATTTAAGTTGTGAAAAATGCAATTCATCTCTTGGAGTCTCTCTGTTGATAATAACCATGTTATTATAACATGGTTATAATAATTTGTGTGCTGAGACAATACAAATGAAGTAACTGAGTTAAATCATGCTTTTATGTTTCTTAGGAATCCGAGAAAAAGGGGTTAATTGAAAGAATCTATATGGTGCAGGATATTGTTTCAACTGTTCAAAACATCTTGGAAGAAATAGCTTCTTTTGGAGAAAGAATTAAAAAGTAAGTTCTACATTTGTGTTGTGGTGTTTGAAATAGAGCTGCCATCTTCAAGGACAGTGAGGGTGTGGGGGCAGGGAGGGTGGGATCAGAAAATGCAAGAACGAAAAACAAAAGCAGACTGTTGGGCAAATCCTGTTACCTTTGGTTGGTTTGTTCTTTGGCTTGTCAACCTCACAGTTGCGTTACCTCAGAACTGGGGTGACCATGTGGCCCAATTTACACCAATTGTCCCAGCATAATTTATTAACAGTGTTCCCTTTCACTCTCAAAAGTATCCTAGATTGGGTGATAAACTGCATTAAAAAAATAGATTGTCCTATTCAGAAATAAAAAGGGAAGCAAATACGCTCTAAAGGAGCCTTTTCCATCTGAACCACAGAACACAGTAAATGCCTTGAGGGAATTTTTTTCTCAATCTTCCAAAGCCTGGTATATAACTAGTAGCATCATAGATTCAAAGATGTGAAGTTAATTCATGACATACATGGATGCTTTAGAACAGAGGTCAACAAACTTCCTCTGTAAAGGGCCAAAGAATAAATATTTTCAGCTTTGTGGGCTATATGGTCTCTGTCACAACTACTCAACTCTGTTGTTTAAGAGTGAAAGCAATCATAGTTGATATGTAAATGAATTGGTATGATAGGTGTTCCAATGAAACTTTATTTACAAAAACAGGTGGGAGGCTAGATTTGACTCAAATCCAACCCATAGCTTGCTATTCCCTACCATATTGCCTCAGGGCCGAATTCTCTCATGGAGTCCCAGTTGGCAAAGACTCTTCATGATTCGTGTTTGTTTTGTTTTATATGTCATGAACTCTGAATAACTTGGTCTTCATTTGATGCCAGTGAACACAGCCATTTTTAATTTTTTTCCTTTGAATTGTAAACTTATTTCTTTCCCCTTTTAAGTACAGAATTGTATCAGCTATGTTGGTCTTTCCAAAGATTAATTTTTTTTCTTATCTCATTGGTCAATCTAGTTTCTTTAAGTAAAGAAGCTAATGTTTAGAAATTGCATAAGTAAAGAAGAGATTAAAATTAGTGCTAAAAGCCAAGTGAAAGTTTTGTCTATTAAAATGCAGGAAAATAAATAAATGATAACATTGGGAAATATAAATGGTTAATATGGAACTTTCTTTGGATACTGATCTTTCTCAGTTCCTTTTCAAATGAAATTGCCCTTGAATGCCCATTTATTATTGGAATAGTGAACATGTTTGTTTTGTTTAAAAAATAGCTTAAAACCATCTTTAAACAAATTTGGTGAGTTTTTACTGATTTACACATTGTTATTCCCATTATCAATGTCCTAATAAAAAGAGCAGTAGGATTTTTGCTTACATGTACTGATGCCTATCTGCTCTATTCCTCTGGATTTCATGTAAATTGACAAATGATTCCTGAATTTACCCTCAAAATTATTTAACAAAAACATAAGTGACAGTAGAAAATATTGAAGTGATGAAGAGGGTTTTATAATGTTTCACTCATTCAATGATCAGTTATTGAGTTTCAGGCACTGACTTGGTCTAAAAATGAGAGTTGCATCCATAACAGTAATAGCAACATCCGCTGATGTCACGTGCCAGCCAGACACTGCTGTAAAGCTTTTCACATAGTAACTTCTTTAAGGAGTTACTTAAAGGAATTGGATTAAATGATTCCAACAGCCCTATAGAGTAAGGATTGTCAGTATCCTCATTTTACAGATGAGAAAATTGAAGCACAGAGTGATTAAATAGGTAGCCCAAGGTCACACAGCTAGTCAGCCGTGGAGCTTGGAATTGAACCTGCCCTCCTCACTACTCCACTGTAATGTCATTATCCTCTCGGGACCTATTTTCCAATGAGATAGAAGAACAGTGATATGACCATTAGAATTCAGTAGTGTTGATTCTAGATAGAGGGAAGATGGGATGTCGGGGGAAGTCTGTCCAGTCCAGAAAGGGGTGTAGGAGAGAGACAGACAGAGGGCAGTTCTGAAGAAGCAATAACTTAGCAGCTTGTCTGAGGATGGGAAGAGATAGATGGGCATAGAATTGATAAATGGGGGTGGTCAGTAGGTGGGGGCCCTTGTGCCAAGGCTCAAAGCCCAAGACTGTGCCAGATACAGGGAGGTGTAGGGGATTAGATTGTCTGTGCTATAGGGGATGGTGGCAGCAGCACCTGGACATGAGGCAGGTCATGCAGGGCCTTGAGTGGATGGAACAAGTCAATGAAAAGAATTAAGTGAGGGATGTACAGCAGCAAGGAGGAGAAGAGGATGTGGTATGGGGGCAAGACCGAGGAAGGAAGGCTGTGTCTTTCAGTAAAACTGTCTCCGTGCGTGATCATTGCTAATAGATAAATGTGGCCGTTGTGCAGTTGATAATGGTAAAGGAAATGTGTCTTGTGAAAGAAGAGGGCAGAGTGATTTAAACAGGCCCCCAACCCTACAGTGCTTTTGAGGGGCGGCTGTGCCCAGCGCAGCTGTGGTGGCCATGTCTGAGACATATTTTCAGCCATGAACAGAGTACTGTTCTGCCCAGCTGCAACACAGGAAGGCTCATAAGGCTCAACTCCTATTAATTCTCTGGCCATTCATTATTACAGTGACCTTACAGTTCCTGCTGGCCATTCAAGTAGGATGTCATGTGTAACTCTGTTGGAATTCCATTGTAATTCAGTGCTTAAGGACCAGGAAAACTGCTACCCAGCTTTTGGCAACTAGCAAATAAATAGGCTTACATAAAACTCTCAGAGGAAGGCTTCCCAGTTACTGACCAGGAGGACCCCAACGGTATTGCATTTACATGAACTAAACTATTTTCTTTTTTCTACTCTTCTCTACCTTCTCTAATGACCTTCTCGAATATTATACAAATTTCAAATGTACATAAAAATCAGGCTAAAACCTTTACTCAACATGTAGCATTTATATCATCCCAGGCAGCAGGCAGGCTGGGTCAGAAGAGAGATGCATATTATATATCTTATCCTATGGAGTGGCTCCAACACTTGTGTCCTTGCGTGGTTAAGGAAATCTCCATGGAAGAGATAATGAGATTAAGGTAGACCTAGGACAGTATAATCATCCCTGAAAAGTAAGGTGGAGAAGGCACCTTTGTCAGAAATAGAACTTTCTGGCTAAGCAGTGAAGTTGAGAAATACTAAGCAATGAAGATGAGAAAGCAGGTTAAGTGCAGTTTGAAACACAGTGAGGACATGGGGAATGATAAATTGATGCATCTTGTGTTTAATCTGAGAGTGACATATTGGAAGAGACAAAGAGTGAAGGCGGAAAGATCAAGGAGAGGGCCAGAAGCCAGGTGTGAGGAGAGAGTTCACAAGCTAGTGTGAAAACAGTGCACATGTGAAAGAAAGCATCCTGTGGGGTACATTACGAAAGAAGAATCTACAAGATTAGGCAACCAGTTGTTTCTGTTTCCATGGATGGAAGAGTCAGAGCACTTCGTTTGTCCAAGCCTAGGAAAGAAGGAAAATAACGATTCCATTGACACAAAGGTCAACAGGTGGCAGCCTGGTGGGGGAGAAACTAGAGACCTGAGGTGCACCCACGTTACCAGATGTGGGCGCCATCTTTTGTGTTTAGCATTTTCAAATTTTGAAAATGGTATTCTTAGGAGATGTGATTGAACCCAAATGGTTGAAAGAATGAAGGGAATTCATTGAATTTTTTTCATTAATTGAAAGCCTTGGCTCATTTGTCTCGTTCCTGCCCAAATTAGGGATTCCCTTCCTAGGATCTAGGGAGGTTCCAACTCAGGAAAACTGAGGAAGTCTATGAAAATGTTTGATAAATTTTTTCACTTCAAGATGGAAATCTTCGATTTAGCAGGGTTCCTCAACCTTGGGTGTTGTGTGGAAGACCAGATACTACAAGATCTTCCATGATAAATGGGGAGAGGGTCTAGTAAGTTTTTGAGTGTTAGAGGTATTACTATGTAGTATCCTCGAATTAAATGATCAGTCTTATAAGTAGGAGTAGCGAATGGATTAAATGAGTAAAATATACCTTCTTACATTTTCTAAAGTGCCTGCTGTAGAAGCTTTGAGTGTGGGCTCTGGAGTCAACTTCCTGAATTCAGATCCCACTTCTGCCACTTATACTGGGAATGAATGATTTGGGGCCAATTATTTAAGTTTTCTAACTCAGAGTCCTCATCTGTAGAATGGGAATAGTAATAATTCCTACTTTGTAACATTTTTGGAAGAACTAAATGAATCAGTGCTGTAAAAGAGTTTAGACCAGTGGATGGCATGTAATAATCACTTAAAAATACTAACTATTGGGGCCAGCCCAGGGGCATAGTGGTTAAGTTTGCACATTCCACTTCGGGAGTTCTCAGGTTTGCATCCTGGGCACAAACCTACACACTGCTTGTGAAGCCATGCTGTGGCAGTGTCTCACATACAAAATAGGGGAAGATTAACAATAGATGTTAGCTCAGGGATAATCTTCCTCATCCAAAAAATATATATATTAACTATTAGGAATATTATTTTCGGTAAATTGCCTTGACTTTTTTCCACTGTGTCTTAAATTAAAAAAAAGCATAGTTAATGCCCTGCTCTCTTTTTCAAACATTTAACTATTTTCCTACTAAAATTATGGGTTGCTGAGAGAAAAATTCATGAGTTAACTGACTTGGCTATTGAGAGAGCAAATCTGACAAGGTATTTGCAACAGGGTACACATCTCCATTTCTAGAATCCAACACATAAATACACGTGACATGTCACACACTTCCACACACACAAAGAACTGTTGAGATCTTTATAAGGATTGCTTTAACTGGGAAAGAACTGACATCTTGATAAAATTTAAGTTTTCTAATATGTGAATGTAATATATTCCTCCATTTAATTTACCTCAATATTATTTTGGAGTTTTATGTATAGAACTTTGACACATTTTTGTGAGTTATATTCCTAAGTACTTGGTTTGTTTCATGCTATTTTAAATATTATCTTTTATTCACATTTTATTTTCTA